GGGATATTGGTCTATAGTTTTCCTTTCTAGTGGTGTCTTTGCCTGGTTTTGGTATTAGTGTTATGCTTGCTTCATAAAGTGAGTTTGGGAGTATTCCATCTTCTTCTATGTTCTGGACTAGCTTGAGTAGCATAGGTGTCAACTCTTCTCTGAATGTTTGGTAAAATTCTCTAGTGAAGCCATCAGAGACAGGACTTTTGTTTGTGGGAAGTTTTTTATGACCTGCTCAATTTCTTCTTTTGTTCTAGGCCTGTTCAAGTATTCTATCTCTGAGAAGGATAGTATAGGTAGGTCTTGTGATTCTAGAAACTTGTCCATCCCTTCTAGGTTCTCGTATCTGTTGGAGTAGAGTTTTTCAGAATATCCTGTCAGTATCTTTTTTATTTCAGTTGGTTTTGTTGTAATGACACCCTTTTTGTTTACATCTTTTGTGATTTGGGTCTTCTCTTTCTTTTCTTTTGTTAGATTTTCCAATGGTTTATCAATTTTATTAATCTTTTTGAAGAACCAGCTTTTTGTTTTGTTGATTTTCTCTGTTGTTTGATTTTCTCTCTCTTTTTTTTTTTTTTTTTTTGTTTTCTGTTTCTGATCTTTATTATTTCCTTACTTCTAGATACTGTAGGATTCTTTTGTTGCTCTTTTTCCAGTTGTTGGAATTGATGAGTTAGAGTGTGGATTTTGCTTCTTTCCTCTTTTTGATGTATGCATTTACCCATTAAATGGAGGAAAAGACAGCCTCTTTAACAAATGTGCTGGCAAAACTGGATATTCACTTGCAGAACAATGAAACAAGACCCATGCCTCACCCCATACACAAAAACAAACTCAAACTGGATAAAAGACTTAAATATAAAACCCAAAACTATAAAATTCATCAAAAAAAAATAGGGGCAAATTTGGGGGTCTAATTTATGACACAAATAGATCATCACGCATAACCCAGAATGAACAGGAGGTAGAAGATAAGCTAGATGACTGGGACCTTTTACAAATTAAACTCTTATGTGCATTGAAAGACTTCATCAAAAGGGTAAAAAGAGAACCTACAGATTGGGAGAAAATATTTGCCTATGACATATCTGATACAGGACTTATCTCTAAAATCTATAAACAACTTCAACACCTCAACACCAAAAAGACAAATAACCCAATTCAAAAGTGGCAAAAGATTTGAGCAGACACTTCATCAAAGATGACATACTGGCAACCAACAAACACATAAGAAACTGCTTGCAATCATTAATCATTAGAGAGATACAAATCAAAACAACAATGAGATATCATCTCACCCCAGCGATAATAGCAAAGTTCAACAGGTCAGAAAATAATAAATGTTGGTGAGGTTTCAGAGAGATTGGAACTCTTGTGCATTGTCAATGGGATTGTAAAATGGTACAACCGTTGTGGCATATGGTATGGAGTTTCTTTAAAACACTGAAAATAGAAATACCATTTAACCCAGCAATTCCATCTAGGAATATATCCTAAAGAAGTGAGAGACAGTGCATGAACAGACGTATGTACACTTATGTTCATTGCAGCACAATTCACTTTAGCAAAGAGATGGAAGTAACCTAAATGCCCATCAATGGATGAGTGAATAAGCAAATTATGGTACATGCACACAATGGATCATTATGCTACATTAAAGAACAATGAGGGATATGTGAACCCCTTCACAACATGGATGAGCCTGGAGGACATTATGCTGAGTGAAATAAGTCAGTCACAAGACAAGAACTGTATGAACCCATTACTATAAAAAGACAAAGAGGGGTTTGCTTATGAAAGGAGACTCATGTTCTAGGTTACTGGGGTGGGAAGAGAAGGGGAGTTATTAATTTCAGGCTACTTGGAGCCCATACTCTGACATGGGTAAGGGAGGGATATATGGAAAAAGTCTGAGACCACCATAACATTAGGAAAAGAGAGGACACTGAATTGTACTCATAGGTGATAGACAGCAGATGCTAATGCCAACCAGTGTGCCTACAATACTGCATTACCATTAACATCAAACACCGGGCTACAGATAAACACATAAACACCAGAAAAGACCAGATGGGGGTCAGTGAAGAGGAGTACACTCTAGACCAAGGATAGATTCATCTGAGGCTAATCTTGCAGATACCAGTGATACAAAATACCTGTAATCCTTATAGAAACAATAGAAGACAAACACAGAGCAATCCCTCACAGACATCTAGACATTATGAGAGAGAGATCCAATGGATCTACCATCTCAGGACCACCAGAGGGGCCAAATTCACACAGAGGTAATACAGGACAGACAGGAGTGCATAACTCTGAGGAGCATAGGGGGAAGGTTACTGGGCAGGAAGGGGAGGAGATTGGGTTAGGGTTGGGCATGGTAAATGGGGAGTGAAACTAAATGTGCATATAATGTTGAATGCAAAGTAAACTCTTAAAATATAAAATTAAAAAAAAAAGAAAATTCTATGGAGTATAGTTCTACTTTGACACATTTTGTGTCACCATGAGTTGGAATTGAACAGATGGCAACTGGTTTTAAAATTTTCTCCTTTCCCCTTCAAAAAAGAAAGGAAGGAAGGAAGGAAGGAAGAAGGAAGGAAGGAAGGGAGGGAGGGAGGGAGGAAAGAAAGAAGGAAGGGAGAAGGAAAGAAACAGAAAGAAGGAAGGAAAGAAAGAAAAAAAGTGATTTAGATTTTCATGGGAATTCTTTTGAATTTTATATTAACTTGAGAACAGATATTTCTATAATATTGGGTCCTTTTCATCCATAATATGCTTACCTCACCTTTTATATAGGTATTTAAAATATTTTTAAATAACATTTTATACTTTCTTTGTTTGGACTTTGCAATATTCAATTAAATTTACTTCTAGTGCTTTGATGTTTTTGATACTTTTATACATGATTTGTTTATGAAAAATCATGTTCCAATTGTTTATAGGAATAAAACTGATTGATTTATGGACCATATATATCCAGCAATATAGCAAAACTTTCTTGTTATTTAATAATTTATATCATGATTCTTGGATTTAATAATATTCGCAATTATATAATTTATTAAAATGACAATATGGTATTATCTACAAGTAAACTGTATTATTATCTATAAGTAAAAATAATTTATTCCTGGGTGGTGCAAATATTTTCTCCTCTGGAGGGCTGTCAGTTCAAAGCAACCCAGGAGCACCATGGAAGAATATTCTGGTGATCTGTGTCCATAAAGATTACAGACAAGACAACTCTATGGAATTCATTCAGTTCTACTCTGTAAATCCATGGGGTCATCACAAATTGGGAACAACTTGATTGTAACAGCTTTCTTACTTAAAAAATATTAGCTACCTTGGATTATAGGCACTCTGGTAGCATAGTGCCTAAGGCTAACCAGAAGGCTGGCGGTTTAAACCCACCAGCCACTCCTCTGAAGAAAGGTTGGGCAATCTACTTCTGTAGTGATACCACCTCGGAAACCCAAGGAGAGGTCGCTATGAGCGACCTGACTTGATGGCACATAACAACAACAACAACAACAAACCTTAGATTGAATAATCAGTTCTCAGGAGAGGGAACAAAGCAGAAGAAACAGTCTTACCACTGAAGTAGTGACAACACCTTGAAGAAGGAAGAGATTCTGCCTACACTTGTATCATGAAAAAAGTCCCAGGAAAGAATATAGAATCATGGTAAATCTTAAATAAGTGATGTGCCTAATAATTTTCATACATTATTTTATTTATTTTTATAACAGCCTTATAAATAACTAGAATTCAGAAACTCCAACAGTTTATGTATAAATCTTATATGCACCAAAATTCCAATACAAAATTCATGAACTTCATGACAGGTCACACTATTGATGAACAGTTAAACCAAGAAAAGTATTCAAGAATGTTGCTAGGTTTATGTACCTGAATTTTCATTAAGATCACCCACTGTACTTCTATGACATAACCCCCAGAGGGTTTCTAATTTTATTCCTGAAGATATAAAGAAATGGTTAATGTGTTTATCTGGTTTCCTCCCATAATGATTTTACGTGCTACAAAATTTATTCCAAAATGTCTTTTTTTGTCAAATCTCAATACCATGACTCAATTCTTTAATGATTACTTTTATTTATCATCATTTTAAAGAAAATGGAGCTTATTACCAGCCCGCCTCCATGAATTTCCATAGGCATGGAAGGTGTAGGCACTAATGTTATGTTTACTTGTTTCAATCTATGTGTCAAAATATTCTGTATACTCAAAAATTAGTGTCTGACAGTCGTTGGAAGGTCACAGTCATAAAAAAGTGTGTTCTTAAAATACTAAGTAATAAAAAAAATAAATGCACTGCCGTTGAGTCAATTCCAACTCATAGCGACCCCTCCTTGTGTTTACAAGGCAGTATCTCTACAGAAGTAGATCACCCAATCTTCCTTCAGAGGAGGAGCTGGTGGATTTGAACTGCCAGTCTTCTGGTCAGCAGTCAAATGCCTTAGGCACTACACCACCAGAGCTCCTTATGTAGTAAAAACAGACACTTAAAAATGCTTCTCAATCAATATACACTTAGTATCTTTATTGGTCTGTGTGGTGTCTCTCTTTTCAGAAATAGCTTATCTTCTGGCAAGTCCAACCCAGTGTCTCATAATCTTGCCTAGATAAATTCCTCAACTTTTGTATGTTTAGATATTTTAATCCATATTGTTTGTTCCCTTCTACACAACATGATTTTTCCAGTACACCCAGAATGGATTGGCAGAGTCTAGTATCTGCAGAAACATGCTTCCTCTTATAGCAGGAAGGTGAAGGATTCCTTCTTAATAACTTCTTAACAAGTTAAGGAAACACTTGTTATGGCTTAGGTTCCAGAGTTTGTTCAATGTTCCCATATCTTAGTTTCTGGAAAAGAACAAATGGTACAGGTTTCTGCAGAGGTGAAATGGTAAATTCTTCCTGCCTTCTGGAGACATTCAATAACACTTTAAACCAGCAGTGATGATACATGCTCCTTTATTCTAGGTTACTATCTTTCCCAGCACCTTTCTAAAAGCATTCTTCATGTCCTTATTCCTCAGGCTGAAAATAAGGGGGCTGAGGAAAGGAGTAATAACAGTGTAAGGGATAGCTATGAGTGTGTCATCTCCCACTGAAGACTCTGGTTTCAGATAAACAATTGATGCAAAACCAAAATGGATGATGACCACTGTGAGATGTGAAGCACAGGTAGAAAATGCCTTCCGCTTGCCCTCAGCTGAAGGGATCCTTAGGACAGTGGAAAGAATGAAGATGTAAGTTAGGATAATGAGTAGGAAAGTACCCAGCAAACCCGATACTGATATCAACGTTACGATAAATTCTGTGAGGTAACTGCCGAAACAGGATAGTCTTATAACTGCCCGCATATGACAGAAGAAGTGTTTGACAAGATTGGGACTGCAGAAAAAGCCCCTGAATATAAGTGCCATCTCTGTTAGAGAGACAAAGAAGCCTCCAGCCCAAGCAGAAGCCACTAGTTGTCCACATGCTGTGTTGGTCATAAGCAGTGGATATCTGAGAGGGTTGCAGATTGCAAGAAAGCGATCATACCCCATTAAAGTGAGAATGATGCAGTTGGTGCCCCCAAGGCCCAAGAAGAAACACATCTGCAAGCCACAGCCTGTGACCGAGATGCTTCTGTTCTTGGCCAGTAGATCTGCCAGCATCTTGGGTGTGATGCTCAAAGTGTAGCAGGTTTCAGAAAAGGAAAGTGCACTCAAAAAGATGTACATAGGGGTGTGGAGGGCTCTGTCCACCCAGGTTAGACCCATGATGGTCAGATTACCCACAAGGGTGAGAAGGTAGAGACAAAAGAAGATCACAAAGAGTAATGACTGCACATCTGGGTAAAGAGAAAAGCCAACAAAGATGAATTCCTTCACGACAGTCTTGTTGGTCTGCATAGTTTGATGTCTTCAGTCTGAAAGAAACAACAAATAAATCTTCAACTTTCCATTATTGTTAAATTTCATCAAATGAAAACTGTGTTGTGAATAAGACAAATCATCATGGAATTCCAATTACCAATTGATCTTTGATTTAGTTTAGCAAAGTGTCAGGTATATAGTATAGAGGTAAGGAGTTTTCCTTCATTTATGTAGCAATATATTGTTTGCCTACTTAGTGCCAGAAAAGACTATTTCCAGCCAACTTTTAAAAAGAATTGTATCAAATTCTAATGCAACAGGGGAAATAATACCCCAAAAATTATATCTATATGAAGGGGATTCAAATGTACTTGGGAAGCCAGATTTGGATCAAATCCTAAACACTGACAAAACTACCGACTGAGTAATAGACAAACAGAATCAGGATCTGACACAGCAACATTTTAAAAATATATGGTACATAAATATTTACTGGGTGAAAATTGGAATTTTATTTGCTAGTAATTTTGAAGGAGCTTTGGTGGCGTAGTCTGTAAGGCATTTGATTACTAACCAGAAGCTGGTGGTTCAACCCCACCAGCCACTCCTCAGAAGGAAGATTAAGCAATCTATTTCTGTAGTGATATTGCCTCGGAAACCCAAGGAGAGGTAGCTATGAGTCAGATCCAACTCCACAGAAGTGAGGTTTCTTTTAGAGTAATCTTGAAACCAAGTTTGGACAACAGTTTACAATTGTTAGTTAGCAAAGCTCATAGTCATTATCTCTTCCTGGAAAAGATTTTTAGGGTTTGAAATAGTAATGAAAATTAAAGAACATGTTTCTTTACCCCTGATATAAAAAGAAGAAGAAGAAGAAGAAAAAAAAGATGGGACACCTCAGAAACCTTGGGATTAATACCGATTAATTAGATTATGTGATTTTATTGATAAACAGACTTTTTATGCAAGTATAGTTCAGGTGATAATTGAGATTTCAACTATTTTACAGTGCCAAGATAAGCATATTACAAAATTAATGCTACTTAGTCTATGTAATAATTGTGGATCTAATTTAATCTCATCCTCCTCTGACTTCTACAACATGTGGCATGTCCTTGTATTTAAAACATTCCCTCAGCATTGTAGTATATTGATCTGTTGTCCCTATGACAACATATTCAATAAATAGCATTTACAAACACTATATATTGCCAAATTCCTTCAAATTTTTATTGATTTTACTCTTTTGGCATAATTATGAAAGGCATAGAGTGGTTGTGTAGTTTGTAGCTTGTCTGTGATTGCTTATTTTGCAAAAGAGATCATAGTAACTAGGGAGTGACACATTTGGAAATAGAGCAAAACTGTTAACTTTGTACTTTCTTTCTACTTGTCTAAACCTCCTCCTTATACAAATAAACCTTCATAACACATTTTTATATTTCCCAGGGTAATGATACAGAGAATTTTAAGAAGGTAATAGTGTCCAGTAAATTGTGGATGGCTAAGATAATAATCAAAATCAGTATTTAATGTAAAAATAATTTATTTCATCTTGTTATTCAGTATAATACAGTATGTGATTTGTGGACATGGAGATGAACAGACTTTTTACTCTAATTTGGTTTGGTTCAGACTACATGAAACTAAGCATTCTCAAATAAGAATCTAGCTGGTTACAAGGCATCAGAGAAATCCATAGGAAAATGATCTAAATTATAAATATTTCATAAATAATCCACAATCCAATGAACTCTACCTTATAGGTCCTGCTTGATTATTTTGTCCTTTTGGGTATGACAAATCCTAATTCTTCAAAAGAAAAGCACCCCTACCATGATCTTTTGTCAGTTCCTACAAACCAATCCCTTTTCCAGTTTCCTCTTTCTCTTGCTGCATGCACACCTTATTATATGAGGTACTATTACAATCATAAATATGAGAATATTCAGAATTAGGAAATAAAAGTGGATTCACTGACCAAAAATTATACATTCCTCCCAAAGTCAAAGAGAAATGATGATTTGGAGAAAATATATAGTTTCATCCTAAGGATCCTTTCTTGCTATGATGAGTATTTATTATGAGGAGAGGCCAGTCAACCTGTTGAGAATACTTTCCTACCTTGTGTCCTTTATCAGTGCTACAAAGCCAGTGCACTGCAACAGTTAAGTTCTTCCAAAAGACAGTCTTCACATTGTTAGAAGCATGCTCTGTTCTCTTCAAAAGAGACAGAGATTTGACCTAAGAGTCTGGATTCTTCACTTAACCACCACTACCTTAGTGACTTTGAGAAAGTCCCTTCACCTTCTAGTCTTAATTTCTCTTGCTGGGAAGTGAGAAAAAGAGACTGGAGCTAACATAAGTTTCAAATTTCTATGGCTCTAGATTTTTGTGATGTGACTGTGAGGCTGGGCCATATGTACTATGACCAGCCCTCACTACTCACTAAATTACAATGTTTTAGAAACTTTCTCCTTCTACTTTAAATATATTGTTGTTTGTCACCAGAGGTTGAGGTTCCTCAGCTCTGGAGATTTGGTTCTGGTGAGTAAACCTTAGGGGATTCTCTCTCCTCATCAGAGGGAGCAAACTTTCTTATCCAACTTTGTAATTTGCTCTCATTAGTTACAGAGCTTTGTGTAACAGTTGACTTTCTAAATTCTTCTAGCAATATCTGGAGATTTAAAACTTGCAGAGTTCCATAATCAAGGCTTCTTGCTACTGAATTTTTATTTGCCTGGAGGGAGTAAATGGAAACTGCATTCCTAGGACTCATAAGACTCACTCTCTCCTTCACCAACAACATGGTTAGCCTTTTCTGCTAGTCACTGTTTTCCTTCCTGAGCATTTAAAAAAGGATCCTACACTGTGTTAAAGATTGCACTGTGCGAAAACTCAGAGAATTATAAGTGTTATGTTCTTACAACGAGTTTATACCTTGATGGAGGAAATAAGATGGCAGACACAAAATATGAATTGTATTTCAGTGTTTTGAGAACTAAAACCATGAACAATTAGTTAAGATAAGACAGAAACAACTGGACCCAGGTAGTCAGAGAAGAGTCCATGGAGTAGAAGTCTTGGGCTAGACTACTAAAAATAAGTGAGCTTGGGATTCTTCTTCCTGGAAGGATGGAATATGTCATGGGAATCCAGCACTTCCAATTATGCAATTACTAGAAAAAAAATGATAAACATATTTCAAAAATATCAGCTATATATTATGACAATGAGATTTTAAAACACACTTAACAAAGGAATATATATGAATGGGAAATAAGCACTTGGAAAGATGCACATTATCATTCATTAGGAAATACAGATAAAAAATACATTGTGATTCTACCACACAGATACTAGAATGTCTAAATCAGAACATTGACTATAATAGTGTTGGTGAGTATATCAAGGAACTGTGATTCACACACTCTGTAAGAAGGTGTGTGTGTGTGTGTGTATACACACACACATATGTTGTTGTTGTTAAGTGCCGTCGAGTCGTTTCCGACTCATAGCGACCCATGCACAGCAGAACGAAACACTGCCCGATCCCGCGCCAGCCCCACAATCCCTGCTATACTCGAGCCCATCATCGCAGCCACTGTATC